AATCTGTTATAGACTAACTACTACCATAATAGTGAGAATAGGCCTCCAGGGGAAACTCACTTAAAACAAAAACGCGCCAAGACCCATACGGCTTAGCCTAAAAGCTTACCGTGGTGTGGAAACTTGGGTCACCTAAGCTCTTTAGAGATTATACAATTGAAAAGGATTGCAGCTACAGTTTAATTGTGTGTCTAGATAGTGTAGACCTCTAAAGAATAAAAAACCACAAATGTTTTACTTGAATTAGGCATCCTTCTCCTCCTTCTCTTCCTCATTTTCCTCCTCTTCTCCTTTTCCTCCTTCTCTTCCTCCTTTTCCTCTTTTTCTCCTCCTCATCCCTCTTCCTTCTACTCCTCCTCTTCTTCATTTACCTCATCCTCTTTTTTATTCCACTCCTCCTCCTCCTCTAGGTAAAGTATATTTAAATACATGTACTACCCATCTTTGTTTTAGTTTTTCTCCTCTATTCTTTATATAGGTTTTCTATGTTGTCAGTAAAGTTATTAGTTTTTATTGCTCTAAAATACAAAATCACTGATAGGTGTATAATTTTTACTATAAAATAAAACAACCATGATTCTCATCTATACTCTTGACTCTCTATACTCTTTATAGCAGTCACAACAAACATAGATGTCAACATTGCAATACATCAGAACAGTAGATTGTATCAACAGCATTACATAGTAATAGTCATTAGCGCCATACAGAAATGTAGAAAAGTAGCTAGAGATAATACAAATTTAACATCAGTATGAAAAAAGGATACAATAGAAGGCTGTATTAGGAGCTATTAGCATTACATTAGGTTAAGTCAACATATATTCCAAACTCTCCTCAGTTAAGATAAAACAAGTATAAAAAATATAGTCATACTCAATACACAGACAACAAAGATATGTTTACAGTTACAACACAAAGACATAAACAGTAAATTTAAACATTTAACAAACCCTTAATATAATATGGTTAGGCCTAACTAAAGAACACAATGATTATAACAGGTTTTAATGTAGGATACAACAAGATATACAGTAAACAGTTGCGGTAGTACATAAATGTGTTTGTTGATCCACAAAAAGTAGTTGTCAACAAAAGTTACACCAGAAACCACAATCAGTGGTGATAATATCAACACATATCAGTCATTGCTATCAGATATACAACTCTATACAAGTGATTGTATATTGAAACAGTACAAATATTAAGTGTAATACAGTATAGTACAAGTGTAATACCATGCAATACAAGTATAATACAATGTAGTACAAGTGTAATACTGTACCAGTTTCAAATACCAGGGATACAGGTAAGTCATTAAAATCAATTACATTCATTACTATAAACTTGATGAAATTACCCAATTTGTTTCTTGTTATTCAACACCTCAATAAAAATAAGCACTAAATAAAAATTCATTAACACTAAGTTAACTCCAAAAAAGACTTGTTTTGGTCTACATACATTAGGTTGCAGTTAAGGTCCAAAGTTAAGATTATATCACAATTTGGTAGAAATATGTTACACAGGAAATACCGGTTATTAAACAGTTGAGTACTAGTAAGATTCAAACCCACAACCAGACAGGATACAATACTAAAAGTCAAAATATTTACCCCACCAGATCAGTGACTAGTAGGATTCAAACCCATAGCCTCTGAGTTGAGGTAGTACATAAATATGTTTACAATGAACAAATAGCTATCAACAGTTGTTATACCAGAAAGATGACATCACTCACAGTTCACACATATCAGATATACTTGTAGTACAACTCTACAAAAGTATTGGTGTATTAGTAAGATGTATTAAAATACAATGCAAGTAATAGTAAAAAGTACAGTGCTCAAATTTCAATACATTAGTACAATCTGTTGTAGTGAATCCCCCATATCAAGTTAATAGTTACAGAGATACAGGTAAGCCAGTATATACATTCATTACTATAGAACAAGCTTTATCAGATGTTCTATAGATACTTTGTTATTCAATACATCAATAAAAATAATTCAAAGCAGATTTCATCATCACTAGCGCTCCAGTGTCACAAATATGAACTAATAGACTTGTTTCAGAGTGAGGTTATGTTACGTATGCATTACAATCTTGGCAAGAAAGTGAGGTTAGATCAATTGGCGGTAACAGTTGGCGGGGAAAATAGACAACATACACAGTACATAAAATAAGGTTATATCATTTAGCAATACAGTTGACGATAAAGCAGATGACAGCTCCTACATACACAAATAAGGTTAATATATTAACAGAAACCATTGACAGAAAAACACACAGCCTACATATACAAGTAAGGTTATATTACAGATACAATCTTTACAGTAAAAGTCATAGCTAATTAATTTGACAGAAACATATTACACAGCCATAAAAAATGTTACTCTCACTGATAAGATGCAAACCCTCAACCCTAGACTCATACACAAACAGTTAACTAGAATACAACACCATACAAAATCATAGTGACCAGATATAAAATAATCAGTGTTTGGGAAAGATTAAACCCATAACCTCAGGATCTCACACTCAAACAGTTAACTCCCTATACCATAGTAAACCCTATAGTAACCAGCAATGAGACAATCACTGAATAATAAAAATCAAACCCACAACCTCTGGGGGCATACACAAACAATTAACTACAATACAACATTAAAAATCACCCCAATCAGATATGATACAAACAGTGGCTGGTGAGGATCAAACCCACAAACCTCTGGGATCAAGGACTCACACTACTTCCACTACAATACAACACTATACTAACACTCAAAATATCACCCTAACCAAAAATAAAACGTTTAGTGATTAGCTAGGATCAAACCCACAAACCTCTAAGATAAGGAACTCACACTACTCCCACTACAATACAATACCATACCAAAAACACCCCAACCAGAAATAAAACAATCATTGTCTGGTAAGGATCGGACCCGCAACCTCAGGAAACGATGTCTCACACATAAACTCTTAATACCATACTAAAACACAAGTTAATACCATAACCAGAAATGAGATAATTGATAACTGGTAGGATTCTAACCTACAAACCTCTGAGATCAAAGACTCACACAACTCCCACTACAATACAACACCATACCAAGAATCAATTCATCACCCCAACCAGAAATAAAACATTTGGTTATTGATAAAGATCAAACCCTCAAACCTCTGGGATCATAGGTTCACATTCTAAACAAGTTAACTACTCCTACTTCAATACTAACACTCAAAATATCACCCTGACCAGAAGAAAAGCAGTTGGTGATTGGTAAGGATCGAACCCGCAAACCTCTAAGATCAAAGATGGACTCACACTATAATACAACACCATACCAAAAATCAACATATCACCCTAACCAGAAATAAAACATTTGGTGATTGCTAAGGATCGAACCCTTGAACCTCTAAGATCAAAGAAGGATTCACACTACTCCCACAACAATACAACACTATAACAAAAATCAACATATCACCCTAACCAGTAAAAATACATTTGGTGATTGCTAAGGATCGAACCCATGAACCTCTAAGATCAAAGAAGGACTCACACTACTCCCACTACGATACAACACTATAACAGAAATCAACATATCACCCTAACCAGAAATAAAGCATTTGGTGATTGCTAAGGATCGAACCCATAAACCTCTAAGATCAAAGAAGGACTCACACTACTCCCACTACGATACAACACTATAACAGAAATCAACATATCACCCTGACCAAAAATAAAGCATTTGGTGATTGCTAAGGATCGAACCCGTGAACCTCTGATTCATACACATCTTCATACACAACCAACCACTAGAAAAAAAACATAAATTCAAACCACCCATCATCCCAAAAATACATAACATATATAAAATATAAATTTAACATCCAACATTTGGTGGCCTTTACAAAGGCCATTTTTTATACTCAACGGTAAAGTTCCGCTTAAGCCTTCTTTCAGCTGTTTTTAACATTGGATACATAAATTATCATTTGTTTCACAATTGTTATAGACTAAAGCATATAGATATGTATAAAATAAAATTAAAATATAATGTTTTTTTTTTTACACACCCTATATATGTAATTAAGAAATCAAAGTTGTTATTTACCACTATAAACACCATACCTATAACTGACATCATAGCCCTATAGATAAGGCATTGGAACAACATCTAGGAGAGCGGGGTTCGATACCCGGTCAGGATTCACACTTTTTATCCACAAAATAGTTTAATAAAAATACCTACATATAAAAAGGTCACATGATCAACTGATAACTCCTATGTAAACATAAAACTACCCCTAACAACCCCTAACATTCAAACATATATATATATTCACTACCCCTGAGGATTAAACTACCACTCTAGGGGTGGTTTTGCCACAGTTATATAGATAAATAACAAACAACCCATAGTTAAAAACATTAGTTAGTTAGTTGAATACATTAATTAGTTAAAACATACATTAGTTAAAACCATAAACATTGACAGTAAAATGATAACTAAACAGTTATACATATTACAGTATTCAAAGAAAAATAACAGATTATTAACATTAAGGCAATAAATCTATTTCCCATAAGAGCCCATGTTAGACCTCAAGCGCTGACCCTAACTACTTGTGATGACTATATCCTTGCATTCCACTAACATCTCATGTGTACAGGTGTGCCTCCCCGAGGTGGCTGGAGGGACTACGCACCGCCTACCTCACCAAGGAGATCCTCTCCTTAGACTCTGTCGACGGTGACTGCACACCCCAGACTCCTAGAGTGTCCAACTCTCACATCCTACCCTTGTACTCTACTAACATCTCTTGTGTACAGGTGTGCATCCCCGAGGTGGCTGGAGGGACTACGCACCGCCTACCTCACCAAGGAGATCCTCTCCTTAGACTCTGTCGACGGTGACTGCACACCCCAGACTCCTAGAGTGTCCAACTCTCACATCCTACCCTTGTACTCTACTAACATCTCTTGTGTATAGGTGTGCCTCCCCGAGGTGGCTGGAGGGACTACGCACGGCCTACCTCACCAAGGAGATCCTCTCCTTAGACTCTGTCGACGGTGACTGCACACCTCAGACTCCTAGAGTGTCCAACTCTCACATCCTACCCTTGTACTCTAATAATATCTCTTGTGTATAGGTGTGCCTCCCCGAGGTGGCTGGAGGGACTACGCACGGCCTACCTCACCAAGGAGATCCTCTCCTTAGACTCTGTCGACGGTGACTACACACCCCAGACTCCTAGAGTGTCCAACTCTCACATCCTACCCTTGTACTCTACTAACATCTCTTGTGTATAGGTGTGCATCCCCGAGGTGGCTGGAGGGACTACGCACGGCCTACCTCACCAAGGAGATCCTCTCCTTAGACTCTGTCGACGGTGACTGCACACCCCAGACTCCTAGAGTCTCACATCATACCCCTGTACTCTACTAACATCTCTTGTGTACAGGTGTGCCTCCCCGAGGTGGCTGGAGGGACTACGCACGGCCTACCTCACCAAGGAGATCCTCTCCTTAGACTCTGTCGATGGTGACTGCACGCCCCAGACTCCTAGAGTGTCCAACTCTCACATCCTACCCTTGTACTCTACTAACATCTCTTGTGTATAGGTGTGCCTCCCCGAGGTGGCTGGAGGGACTACGCACGGCCTACCTCACCAAGGAGATCCTCTCCTTAGACTCTGTCGACGGTGACTGCACGCCCCAGACTCCTAGATTCTCACATCCTACCCTTGTACTCTACTAACATCTCTTGTGTACAGGTGTGCCTCCCCGAGGTGGCTGGAGGGACTACGCACGGCCTACCTCACCAAGGAGATCCTCTCCTTAGACTCTGTCGATGGTGACTGCACACCCCAGACTCCTAGAGTGTCCAACTCTCACATCCTACCCTTGTACTCCACTAACATCTCTTGTGTACAGGTGTGCATCCCCGAGGTGGCTGGAGGGACTACGCACGGCCTACCTCACCAAGGAGATCCTCTCCTTAGACTCGGTCGACGGTGACTGCACACCCCAGACTCCTAGAGTGTCCAACTCTCACATCCTACCCTTGTACTCTACTAACATCTCTTGTGTACAGGTGTGCCTCCCCGAGGTGGCTGGAGGGACTACGCACGGCCTACCTCACCAAGGAGATCCTCTCCTTAGACTCTGTCGATGGTGACTGCACACCCCAGACTCCTAGAGTCTCACATCCTACCCTTGTACTTTACTAACATCTCTTGTGTATAGGTGTGCCTCCCCGAGGTGGCTGGAGGGGCTACGCACGGCCTACCTCACCAAGGAGATCCTCTCCTTAGACTCTGTCGACGGTGACTGCACGCCCCAGACTCCTAGAGTGTCCAACTCTCACATCCTACCCTTGTACTTTACTAACATCTCTTGTGTACAGGTGTGCATCCCCGAGGTGGCTGGAGGGACTACGCACGGCCTACCTCGCCAAGGAGATCCTCTCCTTAGACTCTGTCGACGGTGACTGCACACCCTAGACTCCTAGAGTCTCACATCCTACCCTTGTACTTTACTAACATCTTTTGTGTACAGGTGTGCATCCCCGAGGTGGCTGGAGGGACTACGCACGGCCTACCTCAAAAAGGAGATCCTCTCCTTAGACTCTGTCGACGGTGACTGCACGCCCCAGACTCCTAGAGTGTCCAACTCTCACATCCTACCCTTGTACTTTACTAACATCTCTTGTGTATAGGTGTGCATCCCCGAGGTGGCTGGAGGGACTACGCACGGCCTACCTCACCAAGGAGATCCTCTCCTTAGACTCTGTCGACGGTGACTGCACACCCCAGACTCCTAGAGTGTCCAACTTTCACATCCTACCCTTGTACTCCACTAACATCTCTTATGTACAGGTGTGCATCCCCGAGGTGGCTGGAGGGACTACGCACGGCCTACCTCACCAAGGAGATCCTCTCCTTAGACTCTGTCGACGGTGACTGCACACCCCAGACTCCTAGAGTCTCACATCCTATCCTTGTACTTTACTAACATCTCTTGTGTACAGGTGTGCCTCCCCGAGGTGGCTGGAGGGACTACGCACGGCCTACCTCACCAAGGAGATCCTCTCCTTAGACTCTGTCGACGGTGACTGCACACCCCAGACTCCTAGAGTCTCACATCCTACCCTTGTACTTTAATAACATCTCTTGTGTACAGGTGTGCCTCCCCGAGGTGGCTGGAGGGACTACGCACGGCCTACCTCACCAAGGAGATCCTCTCCTTAGACTCTGTCGACGGTGACTGCACACCCCAGACTCCTAGAGTGTCCAACTCTCACATCCTACCCTTGTACTCCACTAACATCTCTTGTGTACAGGTGTACATCCCCGAGGTGGCTGGAGGGACTACGCACGGCCTACCTCACCAAGGAGATCCTCTCCTTAGACTCTGTCGACGGTGACTGCACACCCCAGACTCCTAGAGTGTCCAACTCTCACATCCTACCCTTGTACTCCACTAACATCTCTTGTGTACAGGTGTACATCCCCGAGGTGGCTGGAGGGACTACGCACGGCCTACCTCACCAAGGAGATCCTCTCCTTAGACTCTGTCGATGGTGACTGCACACCCCAGACTCCTAGAGTGTCCAACTCTCACATCCTACCCTTGTACTTTACTAACATCTCTTGTGTACAGGTGTGCCTCCCCGAGGTGGCTGGAGGGACTACGCACGGCCTACCTCACCAAGGAGATCCTCTCCTTAGACTCTGTCGACGGTGACTGCACACCCCAGACTCCTAGAGTCTCACATCCTACCCTTGTACTCTACTAACATCTCTTGTGTACAGGTGTGCATCCCCGAGGTGGCTGGAGGGACTACGCACGGCCTACCTCACCAAGGAGATCCTCTCCTTAGACTCTGTCGACGGTGACTGCACACCCCAGACTCCTAGAGTGTCCAACTCTAAGATGGCTCTACCCACATACTCACCTACACTCCGGGCCGACCGGCTCCAACTTCTGGCGCTCATAGTGTTCGTCATGGCCGCCCTCTTCATGCTCTTCCACGTCCTCTGGGCGCGCAAGAAGGACAAGTACAGATTCGAAGACGATCGCGAGGACATCCACTATATCAGAGTGGAGAAGAAACCCACCTTCAAATAGTTTGATCTCTTGTCGAAAACGAACAGCTGTGATTTTTTATCGTGTTACATGTTTGATGTGTATTTTTAATTAAACGTGAATTTTGTGTTATACCGTGTTACTTTTTGTTATACTTAAGTCTAAATTATTTTGTAAAGGTAAATGTGATAGACGTGTCGGTTTATTAATAATCTTTGCATTTACAACTCATTTTTGAAATAAATTTGTAACTACATCCTAACTAAAAAGATTAGTTTGATAAGATTATCAATATAACCATTGTGATACGCAAGTCATGTATACCAGGTTTTCACACTGAAATGCTCCACAGTGCTTTATCAGTTCTGACATCTGAAACGCATGCAAATATTCTTCTTTAAGTTTGTTGCCATTCCTTCTTTCTTCACCTGTTTTCTAAAATAATAATAATAATTCCGTACCTTAAGTATATTATTTACAGCATATTTTACACTTATTATTTGAACACATTCTTGTTTGCCATTAAAATGTGTGTGCAACTTAAAAAAATATCTTGGACTCAGATATTTAAAGTAACCCTTATAAAACAGAAACTCACTCATAAAATTCAAATAATATAGCTTGATGTAGAATGTAGATTGTCTTCGGTACTTTCAAGAAAATAATATTATATTTTTCATTGCCATTCATGACATTGCCTTGTAATTTGCCTCTCTTTATATAACCGTGGGGATTATTTAAAGAGTCGGACGAGTTATTTGACTAGAACCACCTTCCACTTTTAATACACTGCCTCTTTTAGATATTTGGAAATTTTTTCTTGTAATATTTCATCAAGCTACTTGATTCTTTTGCTGATTGTATGGTTCCAACCAATAACTCAGGTTTAAGTTCAGGCAAAGTTTTAATGAGATTTACTAAATCGACTCATATCAGTGAAAGGAACAACAGACCACCGATCTGTGGGTGGAACTTATCAGGTAAAGAAAGGAGTGAGACAGCATAGTACGAGAATAAGCTTTACTGATAAGTAGTATTTTGTATGTCCCACCTTCACATCCTAGACCGCTTTTTTCTAGCCCGAAACTGTTTTATAAATTATTTCAGGCTATCTTAGAGGGTCGTGGTATTATCTCATGGATAAAATACATTGGTGATTGGTGGGATTTGAAGCCGACACTTTGGGCTCCGAAGCTCGCAGTTTACCACTAGACCAGCTTGATCCTCAATAAAAAATATTGCCAAAAACAATAGCAAACCCACTATAAGTTATTATCATTCGTCACGGTTTCATTTGTATGCAATTAAGAGTTGTCTTGTGACAAGGAAGAAAATCTATAGCCATAAAGAGAAAACACCAGATACATTTAGTTACACGGGGACCACAACACAAAGAACTGCTAACACATTCAAGAAATGCGGAGTTTCAATAGCCTTCAGAACTCAGAACACCATGAGTAAAATACTGCATCCTAAACTAAAAGATTCAGATTCGACGCTTTGGGTATCTACAAAATCAATCGTAGCGATTGTGATAGCTTCTACAACTAGGGTGGTCTGCCGTTACACTTTAGACGCATAAATGAGCGAAGCATTATTTAAAGATTGTCAATGGCTAAAGCAGCTAACACCCTACAATATGTTCCCTTTCAACAGATTCACCGTTTGTTTGCACGATATTATTTAAGTTCTAAAGAATGACAAATTTATCTGATAGTTCATACTTACCTTTGTAGTGAAACTGGCCATCCTGACCATTTGCTTGTACTTTGTAAATGGGCATAGCAGGATGTACTCGTGCAATCAACATTTGTTCTACAATCGTCAGGTCAGTTAATTCGTTCGGGACACTTGACACATCCATATTATTTAACGCCGTGAATTTAGTTGCATTTGAACGACAACGCGAACAAATCGGTGATTGGTTTGAAGCTGTTAGTTGTTGCCGATGACAGTCAGTGCAAGTGTAAAATTTTAGTGCATCTAATTCATGTTGGAATTGATTAGCTAACTGTCTATCATTATCAGCTTCTTCCGCCACTGCTTCATCTAGTTCTTCTTGTTCACGACGCCACTCTCTTACAATATTTGCATTATTGGTGCGACGACCAATATTACGTTGGGCCTTTGAGGCATGCTAAAAACAAATATAGCAAAACTGTTACTTCCATTGATAAACTGTTACATTCCAACTTTAACCTAGGATGAAAGTAAACATTGAAATGTAAGCAAAACAGTTACAAACAATTAACATATGTGTATCTTATTTAAATGAAACGAGATAAACCCATATGTCATAAACCCAATATTTTTTTCTTTCAACTTACATTAAAATAACAAGCGAAATTGCGTGACCCGTAAAATATAATCCAGAAGGAAATTCGCAAATATTTTTTACCAAAACATTGTGCTCAGTATTCTTTAGCTGTTGGCCAAATTTCATATCAATTGGTCAAGCCATTACATTCTGATGCTCTTACAAAGAAGTTACAAAGTGAGGGAAAGTGAGCTTCGCTCGCTCTGCTCGCTTCGCTCAATGAACCTGTTAACCGCTTCAAAAATCACATATCTGCTTGGAGAAATAACAAACCGGAAAGGTCAAATGTCGCACAGCACATGATACAAAATGGCCACTCATTAGTAAAAAAGAGGATAATCTATGTATTTTAAAGAATAGTACTCGTAAAAAAGGATCTGTAATGAATGCTTGGGAAGAATTGAATATTTATAAAGCAATTTTTTAAAGTAGAAATAAGCTGTTTTACGAACATGTAAATCTTGACTCCCGTTATACTTATCGAAATGTATTGGCCAGTGCATCCGGTAGCCAATAGGATTTAAGTAGAAACTGAATTCGAGATTTTTTTCATTCGCCTATTGGGTCTGATGAAGATTGGAGTTTCCAATCGTAATCGATCACCACTTATACTCTTTTATGTATTTACCGTCTTCTGAGGTAACATTATAAGCGTAAATATATGTTTTAAGTGAAATTAGACTTATCTTTTATTTAACTTCCGTAAATTTAGTAACACGCACAATGCTAATCAAGAAGTTATTTAATGAAAAGTTTATACTTTTATCGTAAATCATATTTCCTACAAGAGAAACGTTCCAGTCAATTGAAACTGAACTATACGTTAACAAAGGTACAATTTAAATGGGAAATCAATCACTATAATTGCCAATGCTGGACCGCAGAGATCTATTTATTTGGACGTATCGTGAATTCCTCTCTAACAGTTAATTCCGATACAGAGTTTATGCTTTGAGAGCTGAATATACCTCTGGTCCACCCAGTTGTATCACTTTTGAGTATAGGTACTCTTAGTTTCCATGTAATGAATTTGTAAAATAAAACGCTTAAATTTTGATAATTATAATTTTTTGAAACGAAAAACTCACATCTTTTATATGGCATTATTAGTTTTACTCTCCATTTGTCTATGGTGTCTAAGTTTTACCATAGTACAAACCCGAGCCTTGGAAGTTCTTTGTTTGGTTGGGTATGGACAACAATTTCTATAATATCAAATGAAATAATTTATTATCATGGACATTACATCCATTGACATTGCCAGTGGAGCAGAACAAAATATTTCACTTAGATTTAACTTAAGTATGGGTCTGTTGTACAATTTGATTTCAACTACAAGGTTAATAATCATAATTACATGACAATTAAATAGACTATAAACAATTAAAAAATTAACAACTAACAAAATTGAAGAAAGCAAAAATAGACTATATAGAAGGAATTAACAGATTTAGATGTTAAGTTACAGGCTTTTCACAGGTTGTTTCATCAATTCTTCAATACTATAAAAAGGATTTCTTAGTAAATAAACATGAAGGGTACTAATATCTTCCCCCTAGATAATATAGCCTACAATTGTGAAAATTAATATTCATCATTAGAAAATAATATTCTAAACTCAAATTTCAACTTTGGCAACGCTCTACTAAACCTAAATGTAAGACAGTTACAATCTCCCTTTCCTGAAAAAGTCAACAAAAAGATATTTAACTATTAATAAAAAGATTTCTTTGCTACAAAATATACCATAAAAATGTAATCGTAACTGAATAACCATACAAGAGCATCGACCATTTTAGGTTAGTTTAACTTAAAAAATGTATTTAATGTAATAAGTAAATGCAACAACATTGTATTATAAATTTTATAAATTTTCTTTGAGTGTTCACCCAAAAGGGGGGATTTGGGTGGCAACTCAAATATTTTAAATGTAAACCCCCTGCAAGTGACACCTCATTTTGAAGGGTTTACGAAAACTTAAAGAATGGTGAAAACTAGAGGTCGCTATCTCTTCTCTATTCAAAATGGTAGCCCATAAAATGTTGTGGAAAATCAATGGTAAAATTGGGTCGTAATGGTAATATTGGTTACCATTTTGGATAGAGAAGAGATAGCGACCTATAGTTTTCACCATTCTTTAAGTTTTTGTAAACCCATCAAAATGAGGTGTCACTTGCAGGGGGTTTACTTTTAAAATATTTGAGTTGCCCCCCAAATCCCCCTTTAGGGGGGCGCCCAAAATAACTTTTAAATGTAAATCCCCATTTAGTGACACTTCGTTTTGAAGTGTTATCAAAAACTTAAAGAATGGTGAAAACCAGAGTTCGCTATCTCTTCTCTATCCAAAATGGTAGCCAATATTGCCTTTACGAACCAATTTTACTATTGATTTTCCACAACATTTGACGGGCTAACATTTTGGATAGAGAAGAGATAGCGACCTCTAGTTTTCACCATTCTTTAAGATTTTGTAAACTTTTCAAAATGAGGTGTCACTTGGAGGGGGTTTACATTTAAAATATTTGAGTTGCCCCCCAAATCCCCCCTTTTGGGGGGCCACTCAAAAATTTCAATTTCATCAAATGAAACTTCCTGCTAAGATTGCACGGCCCTTAAAAGGATACCTCTGTATATCAACTTGTAAAAATATTAGATAGGGGGGATCTTGACTTTTTATTCTCCCTGAATGAGAATAAAAGGACAAACTAATATCATTGTTCAAAGGATAATCCGGTTTATCGTCCTTTACAAAGAATCATGATTGACTTTGATCATTTTTGTGCAGTTAGTTCTCGCCCTAAAAATCGCGAATATCATACTATGACACTGTAACATATCCTATGTATATTAAACGCAGAGTCATTTGTCAATGTTTGAACAGAAAAGAAAGATTAGACACTAAATGAGTGTTCAGTAAATAAATAATTTATTATTAAATGGTATAAATTAACTTAATTCCGTTTGTGATCCTAAATTTTTGTAATGAGCAGCTACTGGTTTCGAGGTTATAACTTCATCTTCAGGCTCTTGATTTAACTCTTGCAAGGTCGTCGATTTTAAAATAAAACATATCAAGACAATACACATTTGAATTGTAATCAGGGCACCTGGTGAAGGTCGAAGCGTCGAAGCGTATGTGTTTTGAAACAGGTGTCTAAAAAATATATATAAATATAGACTAAGTTTAGCATTGATTTACAAACACGTGTGAAAAATTTTGGACGTTAGTGTTGTTTAAATTTGTTTGTAATCTTTATAATATAGAGTAAAGTAAAACGAGATATCTGTTCTAAATGAACGCTAAACAAGACTTTCGATCGCACAAAAGCCCAAGAGAAACAATACAGGGTGAGTTTTTTAAAGTGATCCAATAGCTAACTTTTTAATTACAGGACTTAGCACCTCACTTTAAATTTGAAACTTGCTCAGTTTTAAGTTTCACTCAAGAATACGATTTCAGATTTTTTCATTGTGGCCGCCATTTTCCAATATGGCTGCCAACTTTAAAATTTCTTATGGAACACCCTGTATTTTATTTTGTTTTTAGATTTTACTCTAAAAAATAAAACATTTTTGTTCTTGACATTTTTTCAATATCTCTAATAGTTAAGGAGCTACGAGGACAAATTGTTAAGTATTAACAGTAACAACACTTAAAACTAACATTGTTTTAAAACATGCTTTAGAATTCATGCAACTTTGTATGAAAACTTTAAGTCCTCGTAGCTCCTTAACCGTTAGAGATATTGAAAAAATCTCAAGAACAAAAATGTTTTATTTTTTAGAGTAAAGTCGTGTAATTAGTTACACGAAGTTAACTTTAAGTTAAAAGTTAGCTATTGGATCACTTTAAAAAACTCACCCTGTATAATAAAGAAAAAGTAAATTGGCTCGGTATATAAGACATTGTTTGTGTCGTGGGATGTTTTTCTACTTTAATTATGACTCGACGTTAAGTATGAAAGAACAAACTAATATCTCTGCGTCGAACATAATCTGGTTTGTCGTTCGTCACAGGCCAACGAGATTGGCCGCTTTGTTCACTTTGTGAAGTTTGTTTTCTGTTTAAAACAAAATTGTAAACACAATTCTCTATCACTATTGTTACACAGCTGCTTTGTTCTTGTGTTCATCTTGGCTGGTGGTGAGTTTATAGTTCTGAATCAAAGTCTACACTATGTTCATTAGGGTTTAGTTTGTATTTAACTGTTTGCCTTTTAATTCTTTCCCTATACATAGTATGTTGGGAAAGTGTTGAAACTTTTCTAGTTCGAGTTTTCGGTAGAAATATCTTTTTTTAGTTCCGCCTGAACAACAAAAAGTGGTTTCCAAAATGGTGTCTGTGTACGTATACTATGTATGTGTGGATGTGTACAAAGCTGCAGACTACACCTATGGTACAATTTTAAAGAGTTTCGTTATGTGGGCACCAATCCATGGCATCTTCAGGCCACGGATTATATTATGTATTTTGAGTATTGTGTTACTTGTAATTCTGCTTTAATTACAGAATCTAAAAGCGGGAGTTGCACATTGAGGTTTTCACCAAGCACAGTGTTAATCCTGTCCATTTGGATGACAAACTTGCTGATGATGACAAAAAACGATTAAGAAACAAACTTTAACCAGGAGTTTGATAACACAAGAGAATTCATCTTTCTCAAAAGCAATGAAAAACTCTGCCAATTTGAATGAGCAGCGTATTTTAACCCAAACAAGAGTTTCATGTTTTCAGGAAAAACTTATGTGGCATTCCCATCTCAATTAGTAATAAATAGTACTGTAGCAATATATCTCAAAGCTTAACATGCCTTTTATTGATCTGGAGTAACATATACATAGGCGTTTCGTTTGCTTAATCTAGTTAAGTTTGTTTCTTGGCAGCTTTTTTGTCCGTCAACATCACCAAGTTTGTCATCCAAATGGACAGGATTAACACTGTACTTGGTGAAAACCTCAATGTGCAACTCCCGCTTTCAGATTCTGTAATTAAAGCAGAATTACAAGTAACACAATACTCAAAATACATAATATAATCCGTGGCCTGAAGATGCCATGGATTGGTGCCCACATAACGAAACTCTTTAAAATTGTACCCTAGGTGTAGTCTGCAGCTTTGTACACATCCACACATACATAGTATACGTACACAGACACCACTTTGGAAACCACTTTTTGCTGGTTCAGGCGGAACCAAGAAACGATATTTCTACTGAAAACTCGAACTAGAAAAGTGTCAACACTTTCCCTACATACTTTGTATAGGGGAAGAATTAAAAGGCAAACAGTTAAATACAAACTAAACCCTAATGAACATAGTGTAGACTTTGATTAGGAACCATAAACTTACCACCAGCCAAGATGAACACAGAAGAAAGCAGTTGTGTAACAATACTGATAGAGAATTGTATTTACAATTTTGTTTCAAACCGAAAATAAACTTCACTAAGTGAACAAAGTGGCCAATCTCGTTGGCCTGTGGCGGACGACAAACCAGATTATGTTCGACGCAGAGATATTAGTTTGTTCTTTCATACAAAACGTCGAGTCATAATTAAAGTAAAAAACCTCCCAGGACGACACAAAAGACTGTCTCATATACCGAGCCAATTAATTTTTTCTTTATTATATTGTTTCTCTTGGGCTTTTGTAAGCTCCAAAGTCATGTTTATTGTTACATTTAGAAACAAATATCTCTTTTTACTTTACTCTATATTACAAAGCCTTGTCAAACTGTTTAGGCAAACTTTTTGTTTGATTTTTCTTGTTCGGGTGAAGTATCTTGATGTTTGTTTCGTGTGATGAGAAAATAACAAAGAATGAGAAGGCAAACTAATAGTAAGAACTGTTGAACGAGCTATCTCAATTTTTGATAATTGGGGAAAAATTTTCGCTATCCTACTCATTGCTTCCAACTTACTGTACACCTAATGAAAACCCTACACACCTAACTCTCCTGAATCACTTAATTTGAAGAAGAAATTTATTTATCGATGTGAAGTGAGCCTTACATGTACCTAGCATGACTTTTTTTATATACACAGAAATTTAATAGTACAATTTACGAAAAATCTCTTTCTTTATGAGGAACATAATTTCAAATTATTGCCTCAAAGGCAAAGGCAGTAGTTCCATATACTTTAAAAGTAGAACTATCATTTAAACGTGGTTTGTCTTACATTACTTATGCCGTAAGATAATTGAATAAAGATATTACAGTAAGTAAATAAGGTTGAAAAAATTAAATAATTTGACCAACCAAAGTGAAGATTTGATCAAATTCTTGGTACCAATTGCAATATAACCCACGAGTTAGCTCATTTACGGATTAAAAATGTTTTTAGCTCATAAATTGGATTTACCGTTAAGGGACATTAGTAACATATTTGCAGAGAAATAATAACAACTAGTTTCATCTCACAAGTAAAAATGTTGAATTAACAAACTCAAGTTAAATAATCTAATTTGTTATATTCAACTTTGTTATCCGATTGCTGTTAACTCTGTACAAATTAACAATAGGCTAATTTGATCACTTTGACAGGCAATGGTTCACATCGACTATATTATGTTTGACAGATCCCACACCTCACATTCCGTATCGGAATTAATTGTTTAGCCAGGTGGAACCCTCGATACGTCCAAATAAATAGATCTCTGTGGCTTTATACAGGTGAATTATGTCGATCGACTTCCTATTTCAATTACATTGGTGTAAGCACATAATGGAATAATATTGGCACACTACATTTATGTTGATTTATTTTTAATGAGGATTTTCCTATAAAACCCCATAAAATAACGAAAAAATAGGATTTTCCCCAAAATGGCCTGAACGATTATGATAAGATTTAGTATGTGAAAGTCCTTTAAATTCTGAACAAAATGGTACAAATCCCATTTCTGTAAAAAATACTGTTCAAAAGTTATTGTAAATTATGTTATTTTCCCATAAAAACTCCATAAAATAACGGGAAAAACGGATTTCCCCAAAAATGGCCCGAACGATTTTGATAAAAAGTTTAGTATGTTATAGTCCTTTAAATTCTGAAAAAAATCGTACAAATACCATTTCCGTATATTTACTCTCTTTCACATGATAAAGGTTGTTGACAAACTTAAGGGAGAAAGTATGTGTCAGAATGCTGATACAGTTTATTTTAAATGTTAACATCTAAAACAACATATTTTGAACAAACTATATTAGTACCCTATCCACTCTTAAAATTGACAAATTAGAACCTTTAAAGATTATTCAATTATTCCGAACACAAATAAGGCTCCGTCGATTTGTCGTTGGGGAGAAGCCTAGCGGAAGGTTTGTGAACTAACCCTGTTCGGATCGATGGCGTAAAGCGTCTGTCAGTTGAACATTGCAACTCGTTGTAGTCAGTGTTCGGGCGAAGTATCTTGTTGTTGTCAGGCGTTTTAGGTTAGGATGCTGTGAATCTATTGTTCCTTGTTCTAGATACGGAGTCTTTTCCTCAGCTGCGATGGTAAGTGGATGCACATGTAATTTTAGCTAGGATAAAAGTTGTGTTTGGCAATGGATTGTGTTATTGGTCTGTTTTCAATTTCAAAACATTTTCTTGTTCGTAAGGGTGTTTCGTGTTTTGGTAATTCGGTTTCATTTTTTTCTGACCCATTTTGGAATGTAGCTTAGAATATACAATTTAGAATTAGTGGATTATTTAACTTAAACATTGGACAACAACGAGAAGGGTTTGGTTGCGAATATATATTTTCGTTTCGAGATATTTGGGGGTGGTTAGGCAATGGCAGAGGCTTTACAACCAGAAGCTGTTGGATGGATATAATATTTAGAAATAATTCCGACTTTGAATCCCGTATAGTTCACCACATTAGGGTGATGTAAATAAAGGACAGTATACTCAATATGATGATGGTTTATAAACAAAAAATTATTATTTCAACTGTTCACTCAATAATAATGTTGTTTTTACAATAAATACAATTTTTTTTTTACCAAAATAATAAGGATTCTACTGATTATTACAACTAAGTTTTTACTTGTTTGTAAGTTTTTTAGGGTTGGAAAGTTTTGTATATTTTTTTTACAACCACTTAATTTGCATTTTAACACGTTTATTACGTAATGTGTTTTTATCCACTGGGTATCTGTAGTAAAACATGTATAAGTCTTAATGGAAATGACCTCGATTCGTTTGTTTAAGATTTGTCTATTGTAAAATTAAGAAAATTGCAAGAATAAGAAATGAGTTGTAAATAATGCCCTTTTTGCTTTGTTTATTAATTTTGTTACTCAGCTATTGGAATGTTGACTAATATTCACATGTTATCAAATTTCCCTAAAAGAAATTAGCTATTACCGTAGGTCTCATGGTAAGACTTGAGCTCGGTACCGATTTACTTTTTCATTTTGATGTCCCCAGAGTCCAAAAACACTATTCGTTCAATTTTTTATATAAAAAAGTGAAATAATTAAAAAAAAACATTAGTACACTTTTTATTCATTTGAATTCTCAAACGACTACAACACTTGGGTCATAGTCATGTTGACATTTTATACAAATATATAAAAATGTTTTTATGTTTTCAATTGTGTATATAGTAGTAGCCCTAATCACTATAATACTTACATTATTATAAGTAACTTTATAATAAGACCGTGAAAGTAATAACTTGTGTAATTTTTGTTCGATTTTGATGAGGTGTAAAGCGGTATAAACTTGAATGAGTTCGTGAACCAGCATGATCCGATTTTTCGAGTAAAAGTAATCCAATTATGATGCAATTTGGTACAAACGGAGAAAACTTGTTTGCAAACCAGCATGATTGGACTATGGGAACGGGGTTTTATGGGGTAAAAAATTAGGGGTTTCCAATTTTTTACTCTAATCATAAAAATTTTTACAATTTCTTACCCATTTTGTTAAGAAAAAAATAATGTTGTATATTCAAGCGTGTTGTATGCCTTACGTGTTTGGATATAATTCGAAATGTTGTAATTTTAAAATGTTCATGTTATTCTCAAGGAGAATAAATAAACTGTTGTAATTTGCCTGTTTATGGATTTATTTTTTATAAATGCTGGAAATTTCATTTTTTCCATACCAAGCTATCGACATTTTAATAAAAACAAACCTTATTACCTTCCCTGAAGCAGCGAACCTAAGTACTCATTAACATTTATTCAGAAGAAGTCAGTTTGAGACATCATCCACAAAAAAATGAAGCAGAAACTTGTGCTTTAAGTAGCGAAGCAAACCTACCGGAATGTTTAAGTAATACGAGGGTACTAGTAGGAAATCGTGAAACACTAATAGATTCAAATACAATGGAGAATAAAACAAAGGATATTTCTATTATAAATTAAAAATGTACCTTACACGATGACCTGTCACTGTCTCAGAATGAAAGTGAATCTCCTAAAATAAATAATACACCTGGAAGTGAAATGAATTTCTATATTGAAATAGGAAATAGATCAGCCAATTTGAAGAGAATATTTTACTGGACATATAGCAAGTTAAATGGAAATTCACATAGTCTGCAGGTCTGCTGCGGTGGAGTTATTTATGTTTCAAGGCAAAAAATAGAAAACTTTGGTTTATTTTACAAAAGACCCCATAAAACCCTGCTGTTATAAACTTATCTTGCTGGTTCGCGAAATGATACATGTTGTTCATGCTAAACTTAAACCAAAATTGGACAACAATTACTCTAGTTGTCGTGTTCGAGATCACTTAATAAAAATAACATTTTTTTGGAAGCAATCTAACCAGATGCTCACTCTTAGCAAAAAAGGTTCAAACAATATAGCCTAACATGTATAGTGTAAATATTATAGGGGGCAACCATACAGAACAGTAAAGCCTGGATATAGGTTCCGTTTCTTAAACTAAGCATAAATATGCGTGCTGATCTAAAGTATTTTTGTGATTGGCTTCTACAACTGGGTAATGGAACCTTCACAAGTGTTACAGGAGTTAGGAATCAGCCGATGATTAGTTTTTAACCGTAAATAAATGTTAAAAATGTTAAAATATTTTCAATCGTAATAGCAGATATATATTCACAGTAATTTTTAAATTTGTATGCGTTCATTAGTTGTTCTGTACGTTTATTGAGAGATTAAATCTATAAAATGTACCATAAATAAAAAAAACTTTTACCCTCTCATTTTTTTCTATCTGGGAAGGGTTTTATTGTCTATTCCTCTAAAAATGCTCGGCTGCAAATTTTACTTGACGTTTTTTTCATTCCTTAATGGTGCTAATTAACTTTGTTTCCAGATGCCAAAATTAATGGACAACGCCTCAGCATCCCCTGGCCATGACAGAGAAGATCTAGGGGAAGAATATTTAGTAGGGAAGATTTTGGAAAGGAGGATTGTAAATGGAAGTATTGAGTTTCTACTAAAATGGCGAGGATATGGAGACACTGAAAACACTTGGGAACCGCGTCGGAACCTAGATTGCACTGAACTCATTAGAGGATTTGAGGATTCCAAAAAGAAGGAGGAAGAGCCTTCTACTTCCAATCCTACCCAGAAGAAAGGTAGACCAAGTCAAAAACACTAATCAAATTAAAGAAATGGAGAGGAAAGACGATGAGGCTGAAGCACCAAAGGGGTTCGAAAAAAAACTTGGACCAGAAATAATTTGAGGAGCAAATAAAAAACAAACAGTTTTTATTGAGTCATTGTTGGTTCTTCTGGATAGGATTGGAAGTAGAAGTCCCTTCCCCCTTCTTTTTGGAATCCTCAAATTCTCTAATTAGTTCAGTGCAATCTAGGTTCCGACGTGGTTCCCAAGTGTTTTCAGTGTCTCCATATCCTGGCCATTTTAGTAGAAACTCAATACTTCCATTTACAATACTCCTTTCCAAAATCTTCTCTACTAAATATTCTTCCTCTAGATCTTCTCTGTCATGGTCAGGGGATGCTGAGGCATTGTCCATTAATTTTGGCATCAGAAAACAAAGTTCATAATTAGCACCATTAAGGAATGAAAAAATGAAGTGAAAGTTTCAGTGAGCATTTTTAGAGGAATTAACACTAACAACCTTCCCAGATAGGAACAAAATTAAAAGGGTAAAAGTTTTTTTTTTTATTATTTATGGTACTTTTTATACATTTAATCAGAGAATAAACATACAAAACAACTAATTAATGCATACAAATTAAAAATAACTGTGGAGATATATCTCCCATTAGGATTAAAAATATTTTAATATTTTTGATATTTATTTATGGTTAAAAAACTAATCGTCGGCTGATTCCTAACTCCTGTAACACTGGGGAAGGTTTCATTACCCAGTTGTCGAAGCCAATCACAAAATTACTTTTCATCAGCGTATATTAATGCTTAGTTTAAGAAACGGAACATATCTTCAGGCTTTACTGTTCTGTATGGATGCCCCCTATAATATCTACAATATGTAAGTTAGGCTATATTATTTTAAACTCTTTGCTTAGAGAGAGCGTCTGGTTTGATTGCTTCCAAAAAAATGTTATTTTTATTTCGTGATCACGAACACGACAACTAGAGTAATTTCAGTCCAATTTTGGTTGAAGTTAAGCATAGACAACATTTATCATTTCGCAAACCAGGAAAATAAGGTTATAACAGCAGGGTTTTATGGGGTCTCAAGTAAAAAAAAACCAAAGTTTTCAATTATTTGCCTTGAAACATAAATACCCCCGCTGCAGCAAACCTGCAGACTGTGAATTTCCATTTACCTTGCTAAATGTCCAGTAAAATATTCTCTTAAAATTGGCAGATCTATTTCCTATTTCAATATGGAAATTCATTTCACTTACAGGTGTATTATATATTTCAGGAGATTTAACTTCATTCTGAGACAGTGACAGGTCATCGTGTAAGGTACATTTTTCATTCATTATAGAAATATCCTTAGTTGTATTCTCCATTGTATTGGAATCTATTAGATTCCCTACTAGTACCCTCGTATTACTTGATCATTCCTGTAGGTTTGCTTCGCTACTTAAAGCACAAGTTTCTGCAACGCCTTCATTGATCTGTGCATCTTTTTGTGGAAGATGTCTCAAACTGACCTCTTCTGAATAAATTGTAACGAGTACTTAGGTTCACTGCTTCAGGGAAGGTAATAAGGTGTGTTTTTGATAAAATGACGATAGCTTAGTATGAAATAAACGAAATTACCAGCAATTAAAAGAAATAAATCCATAAACAGGCAAATTACAATAGTTTATTTATTCTCCATGAGAATAACATGCAGAAACTTCTGCTTTAAGTAGCGAAGCAAACCTACAAGAATTTTCAAGTAATACGAGGGTTCTAGTAGGAAATCGTGACACACTAATAGATTCAAATACAATGGAGAATACAACAAAGGATATTTCTATAATGAATGAAAAATGTACCTTACAGGATCACGGTCACTGTCTCAGAATGAAAGTGAATCTCCTGAAATAAATAATACGCCTGGAAGTGAAATGAATTTCCATATTGAAATAGGAAATAGATCT